TAAACGGAGCATGAGAACAGAACAGACCGAGCGGGCATACAAACGTAACGCCAGGTTCACATACACTGTCTGTGGTGTGCATTTTTTCCACGCCCATGTTTACGGATCAGAGCGTTCACACTGCAAGCGATTGCGCTCCGGCAGTGTGCTCCAGGAGTGGTGCGTCTGCAGCAGTCATGCTGCGATCGTTTCCGCACGGAGTCTATTAGTCATTTGTTGCATCCAGTGGGGACATAATTACAGATTATATTGACTTATACTGTCTTATACTGTTCCTCTTTTGGAAGACCAAACAAAGTAGTTTCGCTTTCACAACGAAACACACAGCGTCTTCACAACATGGCAGCAGCAACAATACTACAGCGAGAATAAAAGTTACGCCTTCTTTCTTTGCGTGAACATTTGGGTGGCGTTATGCAAATCTTCCCACATCGTGACGTAGATATGTGGGGGCGTATTAGAACAAGCCGTTTTAGGTAGGCGTGGCTGACTCTTAACTTTTATAAAGAATATCTCTTTGGATTTGAGACTTTAGTCTTTGCAACTTTACAGATCTTCTTTATGCGCCAAGAGCTTGTAACACTTCAAAGAGAAAGGAAAAATGTAAATCGCATCATATGACCCCTTTAAATAACTGTAATTACAGATTTAGGTTAAATAAATATGTCAGTCTTTATTTTTCTTCTTTTTCTCATCAAAAGCTGCGAGACAGCCCACAATTCAGCAAACATTTCAGAAACAAATCAAAGAAAAAATAAACAAATACTGCTGTTCCAAATATTTTGTATGTTGCTTAAAAATAAAATATATAGTGTTTTATTTATTTTTTACCCAGACATTTAAAAATAACACGTTTTAGAGCTGTAACAACAATACCGTGATATTTTTGCTTAAGGTTATCATACCGTCAAAATCTCATACCGGCCCATGCCTACTGTATACTATTATTTCTGATATTTTTCTACTTATATTTATCGTGTAAAAACATATTTTAAAAAAGCACAATATGTAATGACATATATATTACATAATAGTTATTATTTTCATGTAATCACTATGTTACCACATGATACAAATTGCTCCACAAATAGCCAAAACAGTGATTAAATGAATAATGGATAAAAAAGACATATGACCTCTGAAGCTAGACAGTGGACAGACTTGCGCCTGAGCCATAAAGACGCTTTTTGTACAATTCTGATATTTTCAGCTTATAATGTTTCAAACCTCTGATCATTCACAAGTCAAAAAAGTTCAGTGTAATAGCCCACTATTAAGTCGGATAACATCTGTTATACATACAGGCCTAAGAGTCCTGCCAAGTCATATTGTTTTTATATACATGGCATTCATACAAAGTAAACCAGATGTTTGTTCAGTAAACATTGGTATATATGTGATATAAGGTTAAGCACTTCAGCCCACAGACGTTATGAATTGTTCTGAATGCTTATATGGTTTTTATAAACATCTCAAGCGCAAAAGTCTAAAAACTTTAAGCATTTTAAAAGATCACACAGACAAACTGCAGTCTCACAACAAGGACAACCTGCTTCATAATTACATGATACAAATACACACATGAACACATAAAAGTACTGATATGAATCTAAGTTATCAGTACAAGACCATGAAATTAAATATTGTGAAAATACATGATTGCAACAACCCTTGACCAGATATACACTTTATGAATGATGTTAAATGTTAAAAAAGGTGACAATGTAAGAAGTACCACTGATAATTTGTTTGCAGTAAACAAGTGACGCATTCAACACTATACCAGAGTGCAATAGTGCCATTGTGCATAGTGAAGATTAGAGTGACTGACTCTGTATGGAACTGGCTAGTTCATTTGCTTCTAGAGGTCTTAATAAATATCCTAAAAGTGCATACAAACTAAATACTGATGAAATGTTAAGAATATACTTATTTATAACTGTCCACATTTTGAATAGTCCATATGTAAATGATAAATAGTATGTGATGTCTTCACCATTTCATGTGCCTGATGCATCATTAAGGGGATAGTTAACCAAAAATAAAAATTAAGTCATCAAAGAGAGAAATCTAAAGAAATGTCCCACTCGTGCTCACACATATAGAATAGTGGCCAGCATAAAGCTTTTAAAAAAAAAAAGATGCAGAAGTAGGCATATACTATGAATGCACCCACACTTCCTAACACTATCGCATATTCCAAGTGTTCTGGGGGTATACAATAAAGTTTGGTAAAAAACAAACTGAAATGTAATGTTTTACAGTCTCAGCCATACACAAAATCCAACAGCCAAAGTCAGGATTTTTGATGAAGAATCCATTCAATTTTAGTTTGTTTTCACCAAACTTTGTTGTAGATCCCTAGAACACTTGGAATATATGGCATGTGTTGTTTGCGATTATTCTGTGATACTTTTGCATCTTTTTCTAAAAAAATACTTGCCGCTATTCCCTGCCATTATATGGGCAAGCGGGATATTTCTTTAAATTTCTCCCTTTGTGGTCTGAAAAAGAAAGAAGGGAATACTGCATTACAACAACACAAGTGGGAGTAAAAAATAACAATTAGATTTTTTGGAAAAACTATCCCTTTAACAGTAGAGCAATAGCTCATAGACAAAACTTCAAAAGAAAAGATTAAGTTTGTCCATGCAGACCCTGACCTTAAATGCATTGTATTTTGATAAAGATAAAACTGTCTGATCACAGGGAATTTCACTGAATGCCTAAATGTCCTTTGCCTGGCCTTCAACCATGTTTATTATAATATGTCCCTCATGCTGGCTAACAAAGCTTTTGAAGTGAAATCTGTAAGACCAGTTCAAAGTATAAATTATAAATAATATCATCTGTCAAATGGAAACTGCAAACAAATCCACAATATACAAAAAGAGGTAGGAGATCTGGGCTTCAGCAAAACAGACAGTCTGAAAGATTTATATAAAGATGAGGAAACTCACCACCCTGGCAGCACGTTCCTGTGATTCACATTTCCTGCAGAACCAGGGGCCTGTGGGGACTTGGACAATTCCATAGCAGGCTGAAACAACAGGAATGAAGGAGAGATCAGTTAAAAAGACTTGCTTCCAACTACTGTAAATCTGACAGCTTGACTATCTCGTCCTGTCAGGTTTCGAGATTAACATGTGAGAGTGTTAAAAATGATATTTTAAGCAATGTGTGAGATGTAATCCTACTGCAACAACATCAGAGTATAAATTTAACACCCGCCATGAGCCAAATGTGGGTAATTTTTGTTCACGCAGTTGTGGGTAACTCATGTGGCATGTGACTTCTTGTAACACATCTCAAACTGACATATGACAGGAAATGCTGTTGCCTAGATGCAAAGACACGTACTTGGAAAAAAAAACACAAACGTATGATTGTATCTTGGTGAACAGACAACACAAAATGTAGCATGAGCACTTTGCAGAACAAAAGCATGTGGGAAGTTTCCATGTTTTCTTGTGTCACCGGTTCCACAGAATTTGGTCTTATACATGAACATTGAGGTTCACTTATAATGGGTATTTTGCCATTTTGGGGTCAACCTGAACTAAGTTCTAAACAGACAACAGTGTGAATGAAAAGTTAAGTGGACCAAAAACAGTCAGGTTCACTATCAAGGCCAGGGAAGACTGCAAAGAGAATCTTTTTTGGTCCACTTACAAAGGTCTTTGCGTGTTTGTTCAATTTTACATATTTAAAAAAATATTTTATATATTTGAACTGGAAAAATAAAATGGCTGGTGAAACACTAATCATTAATCATTTATATTTGGTGGAGAGAAAAAAAATCATACCCTGAATAAAATACTTTAGATACACGCAAGAATTCTAATCTTTGCTTTATAGTTATTTTTGAGCAAACGCAAATAAATGTTATGGTTCCACTTATCAGAAATGATCAATGACAGGCTACAAACTCACAATAGTCAGCCGATACAAAACATTACAAAAAAATCTCTTTATCAGAAGCTTGTCTAAACACTAACATCTGTCTGCAAGTCTATAGGTGACAACTTGATCCATTTGTACTGGATCATCTTCAGTGAACTAACAAAATAGATGCTGACACCAGTTCTAGGATATTAAGCATCTGATCTGACCATATCAGCTTAAACAACGTTAAACAAGAAGTAAATATTAAAAGACATCCAACTATTTCCATGGCATGAATGACAAAACATTTCTTAAAATAAATTATCAACAGGATCTCAATGTAGAAAAAGCACTCTTCAATGACAGGTTTTAATAATGACGGGTCAGATTTCTACTTTACATCTAAAACAAAATAAGTTAACTTAGCATTTGTTTGCGCAGTTTTTTCACTTGTCTGCACCCATTGAGTTTCCTACAAGGACAACTTTCTTCGAACCAATGTACTTATGTATGTGAATATGTCATTTGAAGCGTCATTCAACCTAAAATAACACAAGACAAACAACTAACTACACGCGGAGAAAACAGTCAAGATCCTGTTAAGAGTCCCGTAATTAGTTGACAGCTTTGCTGACTAGCCATAAATGAGTGTTATCAGCCTAGCTGTAATGACCTACAGAGCTTGTCTGAGTGTGACTCATCTCTGTTTCCATAGCTGTGACTGACACGTTGTTGGTCCTGAAACTGGAGATAATGAACAGCCATGAGCGACATGCTGTTACAGCCGAGTAGCGCTGGTGCTAACACATAACATTAGCACTCCGACGGGACTTCGGCAAACCGTTGCTTCACAGCAACCGACACACCTTAAAAACAACACAAATTAACCGTCCAAATATTTTACATTTCTCAAATGTCATCCCAATAACGCAAACACGCTCCAGCGGTTAAACTTAGGTCATACTGACTGTTCGGTTGAGCTAAGCTAAGCTAGGATAGGTTATGCTAAGCTAATTCTCAAACCACAACAGAAGGGAACTTACCAAAACACCAGCCTCGAATAACCCGTCCCTCAAAAAAAAATAACAGTGTAGAGATGTCGAGACGCTTATATTTACCTTGGTGGACGGCGACGTTACAGCCGTGACCGTCGCAGTAGACTAGGGGGTTTTCGGCCCAGCCTCTCTCATCCGAGCAGACGCAGCAGCCTCCGATCATCTCCTTCATATTACTCGCCGAGTCGTCGTCTTCCTCTGCCAGATACAGCTCACTGGATACCATCTACCATCGGCAGCGCACAAAGACCAACAAAAAGGCGGTCGGGCGTTTGTCTCACGAATCCCTATCTCCCCTGAAAGCCGTATTTTATGTCCCATTTCGATGAAAAGCCATATTTCAGTTGCGTTGTTGTTGAAGGCGGTATTTTGTGGGGGCTCAAAGCACAAACCCCGTACTGAAGGCTCTCGGGAGTGTGGAGGCGCTTGTGCGCGCATGCGCGGAAAAGCCGAACGAGGGAGGCAGCGGACTAGAAGAGGCCTCGCGGGGCTGTTTGATCCACGCGGCGAACGCCATTGAATTTTACCGCGAGCAGGGGACGAGCTACGGTGCACTGCACTTCTACCGCAAAGTATGATCTTCTGGGAGTTCTGTTTTTATACTGAAACGATGTTACTTTACAGACTCATTAAGCAGGTTCTGTTCACATTTGTTATTAAGGTCAAAATTATCCTCAGAAGGTTACCCCGAAACTTAAACTTGATATATCATATTTATTTAAACATTATTTAAGATAAAGGCAAATGATGCATACAGTGGAGTTTTGCCCTCAGAATTAATTAGTGTGCTCGTTTAAGCTCATTCTCATTTTTTCTCAGAATAACAGATTTATAGGGAATCCCTCAGAATTGTGAAGCAGTATATGCATATCCCATTTTAAGGTTTCATCAGTTTAGATACTGTACTAAGATATTTACATAGTAGCCTATTGGCTATGTGCTGGATACAAATCTCACGGAATAATAATAATAACAATAATGCCACACGGTAGGCTATAGGCTATGACAGCTTTGCATATTGTTGGGCATATAAACTGCCTGTAATTATTTTTTCAGGCAAATTCTAGAGGTTATTGTCAAAATTAACCAAAAAACTTAACAATGGTTTAGGTAGCTTTCAGTTTTATTTAAAGCTTTTATTAACGTCAACGGCTGCTTACTTGGCCTATGACAACTGGGCCTATGAAAACAAAAGTGCTGATTAACGTGAAAAAATGTAAACAATGTATCATTCTTATTTTATTGCTCTGCTTTACATCTTAACTTGCCAAATTTGTGAACGTGCAAATAAACTCTTTTAAAACCAAATCTGAACCGATGGTTTTGGCATAGACCTTGACCCAACCGATTTCCATGGCCCCATTACACAACACGAACCTGTAATAGGCTCCAGCAGTACGCAACTTCGTCTTCTTATATGTTGTGGAAATTAAGGGGAGGCGCTCATATATGAATATTCCTAGATTGTTTGTTTGTTTTTATTTTAATGTTGACACTTATCGTCCCATTTAACGTCGTCCCCTTTGTGACTTGAATAATAAGTAGGCAACACAACATTCATTTAGGATATTTTATTTTGATAGGACGCTATTTTATGAGCCTTATTTCAAGAAAGGCAGCTCGCTGGCGTTTTTGGATCAGGTCAGTCTAAAATGACCATGATCTGGCTGTGAATTCATAACATTTTGAAATGTGTTTGGTGCGCTATCAGCTGTTAGGGTTGGTTAAGCCACTTCCGCAGTTGCTATGGCTCACAACCCTTGGCGTTGAATGATAACCGTCAGAGATATTTCGACCTGTCATGATGTCCATCAGAATTCTCTCATATGCTTGGTGAGTAGCCCATCTGTCATTCAAAACAAGCTGCCCCCGCAGTAAAATATTAATGCAAGAACCTTCCCAGTTAGGCTACATAAATTATTTAACTTTACACACGGAGCATAACGTTCAATGTGTAATAATACGAAATTGTATTAATTTATACGAAATTTTCCTATATGAAATCCTTTTGGGGGTTTCCCTGCTTTAGCCTCTTTTCACGGTAGAGTTTGGGGTTGTGTATGAGGCTTGTCGGACTCGGAGCAATTTATTGGGGGGGAATGTTGATTTGTAATGTTGGAATCATTTACAACATCAAGTTCAGCTAATTGAGTTGACATACGCTGCAATAAACAATTTATTTTCGTTGATATTTTGATAGCGTTAGTTTTGTGTCGTATACCAATATCTGGTTCTGTAAAATCGGCATAAGCAAAGAGAAAATTATCATTTGGACAAACAAGATTTATTAGCTGATATTAGACAAAGTTCTTAAATCAAGCTATACTATGCTATACTATTTGTATGTAGACCTATGTTTTTTTTTTTAATCAGATTAACGTTGCTTCAAAAAAAAAGTTTACAAAGCCTTGACATATAACTAATTGTATTATTATTTTTGAATTGAAATAAGTTGTCTCCTATAGTTTACTGATGTGTAGGCCAGTAGGTTTCAAGACCCAATAACGCTCTTCAGGGTTATTTACATCCACAAAAGACTAATATCGTATCCTCCTGAATTAGATCTAACAACTTGTTACCCTAAAAACTGGTAATGCCTCTATAGCATCATACCTTATCCTGTGTCTAATGAATACTGCATCTAAGTCAGTAACCTCATAGCTTATATCTAAACAGTCTGATGAAAATATTTAATATAATATTACATGTGCATTTTTAAATAACCTATATTTAAGAATATGCGTTGTTGGCTTTTTTCACATGAAGGGGCATAGGCTACTAGTTTTACGATTAAATAATCTTTCCTAACGATAAGGTCTGTAACGAATGTCAAACAGAGAGGGTGCAATTGACGACGTGTTTTTCCCTGTCAAAGGCAGGGATGCTCCGGATGCAGGATCGAAGTAATAAGAGTTTACCTATAGCACGAGCTCTCTTTTGCGCAAAGACTTGTGGGTAATTCAGGGGCAGGCACATACACATGCAGATATGACACGGCAGGGTGAAAGGTTATTTCAGCCCACCCCCAACCAGCTCACTCTGTAAATTCAAGTTGCATGTACCAACTCATACGTTCTGAAAGAAGAATGTGTTTGAGATGGGAAGGAACTATTCATACTGTTGGCATAAATAATTCACTATATTTAATGCTTGTTCCAGAAATGTAAATGGAGATTAGTTTCGAGTTGAACCGGGAATTGTTTAGCGAGTCGTGTTTAAAGTGTGCCTCGTGATTTTCATAGACACGATAGAAACTTTGGACTTACAGTCATGAAATTGTTCTGTGTGCACGTGTGTACAAGAAATGTTTATGCCCATTTATGTTTAGAATGTATGCGTCCCACGAGATGTTCGCACCGTGTTATTGAACGTCGTTCAACATTTACTACATCATCTTGAAAGCAGATTTTCGACTTCTGTAATTTAGTGGAGCAGTGTTTTGCTTGTGCTAGAACTTCAACGGCATATATGGATCTCTTTGCTTCCGCCGTGACTTTATGTATGCCAATTTATCGTGCATGCAAAGAAAACATTTTACTAAAATGTCAACTAAACAGTTGGCTTAATGTGTCATTAAAGAAATTAGACAAAAACTGAAATCGCTGAAACACTTGAGCTGCCCCGTATAAAATTATTAGACAACTTAAATGCAAAGGAAATGTGTTCTTTGTTCTTCTATTGTTAGCTAAAGCGCGACGAACAAACGTCCTCTTACCTCACTCTCTCTAATGTGAGAAGCTTCTTCATCAAACTTTGAGCTCGCGATCCTTTACGAAAAGTATGCGCCCATTTACTTAATTTAACTGAATGATAAATGGGTTGCAGTGAGCTTTTTTATTTGTCACCGGACGTCTTTGCCATGCTGTTTGAGACTCCGCGCACGTTGTAGTGAGGTAGCCCACGCGGACCCCCACTTGGCGAGTCCGTCACGTTTGAGGGTCCAGGGCCCATCCTGATTTCATTGCAATAAATAAGTCCAACTCTCAACTGTCTCAAAATAGAAGTGACCAAGTCATAAAGATTAAATTCTTCTCTTAATTATAAATAAATCACGCATATGAAAACAACAAGAGTTTTAAAATGTTGATTTATTCACATATGGTTAGAAATCATATATATAGTAACAGCCTTATATTAATATTTAATGATAATGCATCACCGCATTTCCTCACTGACTTGCAGCGTATGCATGCACTGCCTAGTCCTGGTGATCAAAATTAAACTGCGTTTGTGATTGTTGTCAGATTAACTCAGTTTTGTTAATATACGATGTGTGGTTTGTTTTAATGAATTTATTTGCATCCCATATATTATAATATATCCTGTGCGTAGTGTACATTTATAAATAAATATAGGCTATTTAAAGACGACTCCCCAGACTGAGGAAATAGGCTAATCATTTCCAGTAAACTGCATTGGAAGTAGCCTAATAATATGATCAATGATTAATCTGAGTTATCCTGATTTTACAAAAGTGATCAACTTTAAAATAAATCTTAAAACGGGACAACAAAACATTTCTGAAGGCAAACCGCTCAACTCTTCACCCACGACGATGCACACTGGGTCGAAGATCAATCATTATCACTCATGTCACAATTGAGGGCTATTCAAGCTGTGAGGTTTCAGAATCAAAGGACCAGGACCTGCGTGTTGTCTTTCAAATGATGTGTGCCCCTTGGATAAAAGTTATAGAGAGTTCAGCGTAGGTTGGAATAAAATTGACTATTAACAGTGCAAGACGGCAGAACGTTCCAGTGTATGCAGTGTATATGCGGTAAATAAAAACGATCAAATTGCATACACTAACACGTGGAACAGCTCATTAATGCAAGTCCAATAACACTAGAATAATTTTCCCATCGTTAAATAGCCTACATTTGTTTACTGCATGTGAGAACAACTACCTAGCCGCTCTCTGAGCGTAAATAAACTCTACAAGTAGGAGAATAATTATAGAGCAGCTGCAGCATAAATGAAACGCTTATGAAAGAGTTAACAATTGTATCTTCTTTGTATGCACATTTGTTGCATTTATATGTATTTATATATTACGCGGACAATATTTATTTGACATTTTATTTTAAAAACGTAAAAGTGTTATTTAAATATTTGCAGACATTCAGGCCTATAAACATTATGTTTGTCCGTTTGTTTGACAAAGCAGTTGCAGCAGGAGCCACAGTAACAAGGAGCTGCACTAGGACTCAACCCTGAAGGTTTAACAGGAGACCGAGTGCTCTTAATCAACAGTACGACGACTCACTTCTAGGAAAGGTAGCCTGCAGTAGCCTATAGAGTGACATACACTCCCTTGAAAATCTTTATGAACTAGAGTCTATTTACGTTACCGCCCCTTGCGAATGAGTGAGGTGGGATCGTGTACATTCTGTCAAATACCGATGCTGAATTTGGTACTAAATGAGCTGTGGTGATTAACACGAAACACTTCCACCACATAGCCTATATAGCTGTCTGTGCCAAGCCATAATCAGGTAAACGCGGATGCAATATAGCATAATATAACAATTAATTATCAAGAGCAATACTTGGCAATGA